TTACGTATCTGTGGGACAACTTAGATGAAGATCCTCCTGCATTATGTCATTGCCACAACACAATGTCACTTTGAAATACGCTGCTCATTCAGGAAGAGAATACCCTACTGTCATCTCATGTCCCACCGTTGTCAACACCACTTTACTTTCTTCTATGTCCAAAGCCCATGATTAGCAACGTTCTTCATGGAGTGTTAAACACTGCTGTATAACCATAATGAGAAAGACGTTTCTGTTACTAATCTGATTTTCCACGTCTTCATATTGTTTTCTGAAGAAAAAAATCTATTGCGCTGGAAATTCCTGTGGCTAGATATCAGTGCAAACTAGGTTGTATCYTAGGAGGTTTTGGTGATTTTTTTCTGGAGGAAAGAGCACCAGAAAATTAATTTTACTCTTGGTAGTACTTGAAGATATCATGGATCTTTAAAGTCTTAAAAATATGTTTTGTTGTAACCTAATGTCCAAAGTGTCATTAGTTGTGAATCTCCAGCAACGTGTCGGTATTGTTGAAAATAGCGATGTTCTGAAGGGAGCAAGAAATCGTGTGTATTTATGGTCTGAGAGTATCTGTACATCTGTAATGAACAGGTTAGGGGGGTCTGCCACCACCATGGAGCGTGCTGTAATACCAGATCTGAGACACAGACACCCTTTCCCTTGAGCTGCATCCTCTGACCTGATGAGATTATATTCATGAGAAAAAGTGAGTGCAGAATTTATTTAGTATCTGTTAATGTGATGGCTTATATCTTACTTAGGAGTGACTTGAGCCAGAGCAGAGCAAACGATGGATTTCTTTAAATGTGAAATCTATGTTGTTTCAAGAGATACTGTTGTTTCAAATTTCCAACTTTGTAATTCGTTTAATCACTGTTTTTGATCAGAAAAGCTGCCACCTTTTTATTTAACTTATGATTTAAATGAATAGCTTGTCATTTTCTATATTGCATTATTGTCGGAAAAGCTGGTAGACTCAACAAAATAAAAATAAAAAAGAGACACGGTCTGCTAAGGTTAATGGCAAAAAGACTTTACCTACTGTTTGTTTCTTGGGAGTCATAAGAGATGCTGATAGCTGTTGATAGTATGACAGGTGCAAATTTTTATATTTCACTTTTGTTTCTTGTGTAACTCCTGCTGTTAAATAAAATAAAATAAGCCAGCATTTGCTTATTGACATTGAATAGAGCTGCTTTTTAACATAGCTTTATTGGTACTTTCTTGCAAAAAATCACAGATAATGCAAAATGTTTAGTTAGTCTAAAGAAAACTTTGGAGAAAGAACTTTAGTGCTACATTTTTTTTTCTTCTTTTTGAAATACTGCCAGAGTAGTGACACTCTTTCTTTTATTTAGTAATTTTGAAGTCTGGCCTTACACTGAAGCTCTTATTGACTGGTTAAGAAATTATTTATGGACTGTATATAATCTTGGCTTGCCCTGTAATAGTCATCAATAGCTCCAACCCAAGAGTAAAATAATAACATATCATTTCATAAACTCTCCTGCAGAGCCACGCTCGGATTTCCACATCAGAAGGATGTGCTGTAGAGCCTGCAGTCTACAAAAAGGATTTTTCTCTGTTTTTTTGCTATAGTATTTTGTTGAATGGTATGAGATTTCTCAGAGAACACAGTTTTCTGGTGAATTGCGTATCAAATAGCAGCTTTGAGCATACACTGCCACACTATTTGGTCTTTTTCTAACCAGGCCACTTTATTGCTATGGAAAGTACTTGTTTCACGCTTTCCCTGGAGCCAGGCTGGAGTTTGATCCCCAGTTGTCCTATCTGGGCCTGCGTGCGAGCCCATCTGGGTGTGAGTCGCACGCTCTCTACACACACAACCTGCATCTCCATGGCAGCTTTCAGACAAACACAGAACACCCGTTTTCTTCTCTTTATTTTCCTTCCTGTCCATACCTTTCAGCTCAGGTAAACACATGCCTGCTTGGCAGCTTCATTACCTCCGGAACTATCTTTTACTGTAAAAAGTATGGTGCTTTTCTTAAATTTTGAGCAGAAGTTCACTGCTCTTTCAAGGAGACAGGTGGTCCCCTGCAGCTGCGTGAACTCAACCCTCCTCACAGGTGYGGGCAATAAGCAGGGGTGACTATATGAGAACAGCTTGGCTAAGCAGTTAATTAGAACAGCCTGTCCTAATTAGTTTTTAATAGTTGGAGAGGGGAGAGGTGCTGTAGCTGCATATAGTGGAGTGTTTCTTAAGTCCTGTTTCTCAGTTTGGATTATGTTAATGAAGATGGTTTGGAGTGAAGAAAAGGAAGTGGTTTAAGGAGCTAAGTACATACCAGGTATTCTTTAGTAATCAGTTAATGAGAGTGCAGTGTTTTGGTGTTTCCTGAGTGGTGAAGGCTGCGTGTGAAAATCATACATCAAGCAGAGCTTGTGGTCTGGGTTGTGATCTCGGCTGCTAGGCCTCAAGAGCCAAGCTCCTGGAAATAGGTGGTTATCTAGCTCTGACCCATCCTAATGAGATAGAAATGTATGTTTGAAGCTTGTATGTGAATATATATATATATGTATAAATTATTTTTTGAAGTCACTTGGCTCATGTGCTGTAAGTGCTGAGGTAACCAGGGGATGTGGTCTAGCTTTCAAGCAGGCCCTGTGGCCCTTCAAAATTTGGAAAGAACCTTTGAGAGAAATATTTCCCATGTTTTTCAAAATCTATCTCRTGTGATCCAGTGTGCAGGCTCATGTGTATGTTAGCAGTGTAGACTCTTTGATTGTAACTTAATATTTTGATGGCAATACACAATACAGACGATTYGGTGATATATGAATGGAATTAAAAGGCCTGAGAGGATGGGAGAAGTAGATGCTGAAGTAATTTAGACTTACCTTATTGCTGTTATCACATACATTTTTAAGTACCTGGCTGCTACTGCAGTTAGAAGATGCAGGTCAGCATCTAAGTGAGACTCTGGCCCTTTTGCCTTTATAAACGTTGGCCATAGCTGAGTGCTATGTGGCAGTTTCTGGAGGTAGTAATTTGCTCTCTGGCCTGGAAAGGGCTCTGCTGTTTTTTCTTTGTAATATTGCAATACYGTTTCTTTATGGAGCATCTATGGGATGTGCTTCCAATGAAAGTGAAAGTAGAAGAGTGGTTTGCCATAGAGGAAAGGTGCCTGCTGCCGAGAAAGGGATCAGAGTAAGGAAAGAAACCAAACACTGYATAGGTGGGCAGAATATGAAGCTTTTTTCCAGCTCTCTTTTTTCCCCTAACAAAAGTGCTCATGGAAAGATATTTGGATGAAAAACTGCTTTCGGATGCTTCCATGAAAGCTTCAGTTATTTTGTTATTCAGAGATTCCCAATCTTCCTCTGAAGCAGAGGAAGTTTTTCTAAGTTTTCAGAAAGCTTGAGTGCATTTTGTCTCATTTGAAGTTTATCAAAAGAAACTGTTGTTGTTCAGCTGCATCAYATATCTGTTTATTAAAAAGCTTATACTTTTAAGGTTGCCTATTAGAAGCTAAAGATGTTATACAGTAAGACTAATAATTAAATTTGTAAAATAACTTATTCTGATAGACTAATACAAACATGCAATTACATCACTGACTGTTTTTCATTAGTGGAAATGAGATGCTAGTTCTTCTAGAATATGTAATGATGTRTAAGTTTTGGTGGCTGTAATTGGCATAGAAATGTAAAATATCCTTGGGTGTTAAAAGCCATAAGCTATTTATTTTCCTACTTACAAGGACTGTACTATGTGGTATAAATTTTACATGTATTGACTTACTTGCATTTTTTTCCTTATACCTTATGTCCATATGGTTCAAATATGAATCTGACCTCCCTATTAGCATCCTGCTGGTGACATAATGTACTGATAAATTATCTCATGTCTGGGAAGCCTGTTTGAATTCAGACTCTGTGTGTGGGTAACTCAAGATTAGCTTATATTGCCAGTATAGGTAGCCTTATTGTCACATATGATTAAAAGTCTCAAAGTTTCTATTATAGCTGCATTTGCATACTACAATATTTGCTTGCAGATTGCTTTCAGAAATGCTAAATTCACATATAAATGCCTGAGTAAATGGGTACTCTAGGCTCTAGCCTAAATTAGGAGTAAATTGCATCTAAGCTCATGATCAAAGATAGTTTTGAAAGCGGAGACAAGCATAAATTAAAAATATTGGTGGCATTCTAATAGAAGCCATATTGCATTTGATTCTCTTGTACTAGAGTCAGTCAGTTTGATTATAAATGCCATATACCTATTTTCTAATGATATGGGTTCTTTCCTTAGCACTTAAAAAAAAAAAAAAAAAAAAAAGGTGGAGGAGGAAGAATAAAATTCATAGAAGGGACAAATCATAGAAGACTGTTTTTTCTCCTGAAAGAAGTTTGTAAATAAGTAATCTTTTTGTATTACCCATTCCAAAAATATTAAAGTTCCATTTTTGAGTAAGGTGAAGTGACTCAGAAAGAACAGTTTTGCTTATTTTCTGAGAGTCAAGAATAGCTTTAATAAAACTAGTAGGAAGTTTTCAATGTAACACGATCATGAACTGAATTAGGAGGAAGCAAAACAGGTACAATTTCTACAAAGATTCAGACAAAACTCTCTTAATGTCCTTGTGCATTCAGAGGTAGTTTAGAGCACTTTTTACTTAAAGCTGAGTGAATTACCTGGTTGAAGAGTAGTGCTCTGCAGTCCCAGTTCAGGTTAGGATTTGGGATTTCATAAAAACATGTGTGCCAAACTGTCCATTCMCATTTGTGGTGTAGGTGACGTGTGGAAGTTGAAGTGAAAAATGAGAATCTGAGGTCCAGGACTTCTTGTTTATATCCATGATCTAATGCTACTGTATTGTAGTTTGTATTATACTTACTGTTTCTTTGTTTTCAAGCTTTTTATTTGTTTGGGGGATTCCACCATGGATACTTAGTCCAGTTTGCCAGTCATACTTACGTGAGATGTCACTGAATGCTTGACAAGCCTGCCCTTTTTTTTTATTATTTTGCAGAGAACTACAGCCAACAAGACTTCAGGTGCTCCTTCCTATAGCAGATGGTCCAGTTCACAGCCGCATCAGGTAATACGCCCTTGTCAACAAGGATACGGAGCTCAGGGTCACACGTGCTGCCTTTCCAAATGAATCTGCAAGGGGCTTTGAGAGTGTAATCTGGCTGCGCTAGCCCAACCAGAGTCATGCTGATCTCCAAAGTCGTTGCAGGCTTTTCTGGCARATGTTGGATGTAGTTGGCCCTTGTGGAAGGGCTTGTACCCCTGTGACTCTTCCGATGCAGTGTGCTGCCCCATGGGTTGCTGGGGACGCTGCTGGTGGGTGGTTGTTAAGGCAAGATCCCCRTATCTGTTCCATCTTGTCGTTTATGCTGGTAGGGAATTTGCTCCATGTTGTTTGGGAATGAGTGGATTCAGGTCTCCCCCACCTATCTTGTACTGCTCAAAATGGTGAGCTGTGAAATGGTTAAGATGTCTAAAAATTTCAAGAGAATATATAAAACTATAKTGAAGTTAGAAAGATGTGATAGGAATAGACATTGATTTTAATGATTTAACTTTTGATTTAAAAAAGAATGTGATTGAATATTTCTCTTTTTATCAAAAAAGGACCCTTTTTCACTATACAAGCACATAGCTTGCTTTGATTAAACAAAAACGTATTTAAAGTAACTTCCTGTTTCAAAATTCTTTAAGTATTTACTCAGTAATGATTGTATTAACTTCACTTTTTCCTCTTTCTGCCTTTGTTATCTTTTTAAAAAATTCAGCTATATTAGTGAACAAATTACTGACCTGATAAGACATTTTCCTTTTTATGAAGGACATATGTATACATTAAAACACACTCTGATGTGGTTTTAGTGTTTGGAGGTGAAGGACAGGAGGAAGGGGAACTGAGAATGGCACTTGAAGACTRAAGCCAAAGTAATTCTGAATTTCATTTGTATTCAAGCTGGGGTGGGAAAGAAGGTGCAAAAATACTTCATTGAATCTAGGCTACCTGTTCCACCATTCTTACAGTCCTACTTTAGTATTTCTATTTTTGCTCAATATTTTAAGAGACTTATTTCTCTTTTCCATATAAAAGCATGGTCTTTCTGCTTGTTAAGATTTTTCACATTGTCTAGTCTCCCGTTTTTTAATGTTTCTTTCTCTATGTTGGGAATAGAAAGAATAATGCAGGCAGAATAGTTCTTTTCACTGGCTCTTACTCTTTGCCCAATCCTAGGGGATGATATAATGGACAGGAAAAAGTGCATGGAGTTCTACTAGTATATACAAAGCCAGAGCAGAAATGACTATTCCCTTTTTCTGCATGTCTGCATTGTCCATTAATGTTAATGGGAGATGCATTCCTAAATCAGGAGGAGATCATCCTAACAAATTATATGAAATGCACTTTACACTCAGTGCACTTGCTATCCCTTTTGGGGAGGTAGGGGAAGGATAAGTACATAATAAAGATTGTTCGTASTGTTACAACCCTGTCAAATCGCTACTAGAGTTGAGGGATTAAATACCAGGAATGTTGTTTGAAAGTATGTCTAGATCTTCCAGCATCTGCAGGAAAGAACATTGTTGTAATGTATTAAAACATGCCYGTGGTAATTCTCCTCCACCTATGTTGCACCCCACACACTTTAATCTCATCTTCCTTGTCATTTGCACTCCAATCTTCTCTTTCATCCTTGTTTATTGTAAGCTTTTGTCTTCTGTGTTTTGGGCTTAATAAGCTTATAAACTTGCCTTGTGGATATTACAAATATCAGTACCAACTGTGAGGATGTACAGCCATGCTGCAGTTCAGTCTGGGAGTCCCAGATACTGCTGTGTGCTCTCATGAGCTGAGAGGCAAAATATTTGTATTGGATCAGAGATTTGTATTCAGGCGTGTAACTTGACGGCATCTATATATAGTTTATTTAAGCGCTTTTGAAGATGGCTTTCCAAGACAGAAAAAGATTAAAGTTCAAATTCATATTGTCTGCATCTTCTTCAGTCTCATGCAGGGAAGGCTTTTCCACATATGTCTTACAAAAATCCGTGTAGAAACCTAATAGAACTACATGGCTGAGACCTTTGATGTATCTAAGAAATGTTAAAAGTTAAATTGATTTCCTCTTTCCCTCCCCCAAGCTTTTTTTTATTTTTATTTTTTTTTTTAAATTTCCTCTATCTGTGTGAAGCTTGAAGATCCATTGGGTGAGAKATTTGAAAGGGTTCTTCAGGTGGGGTCAGTGAGTCACTGAAAATAATACAGTTTTCACTGACTTACTTTGCTTTATGCTACCCAGACATGCTTATATTTTGTAGTGGATACCCTGAAGTGTGTTCATCTCAAATACACTGTCTGGGGAAGGCTTTTAATAAGTTCCTATTAACTCATCACTCTCATGGACATGGGGAATTTGTGTGCTTTTTTTATATCAAGTTCTTCAGAGGACTGCTTTATTTATTTCTTTATTTTTTCCTCCCCTCCCCTTTGAGCCTGTGAAAGGGTCTTGCTGCAGGGGAGGTGTCTTTAGAGCTTGATTAAGAGATTCCTTCTAGCTGCCCAGGGCAAGTGGCATTACTAGTGGTGAACTGCTTCAAGTTCACATTTTTTAATACATCTCACTTCTTCTATGTCAGAATAAAAAAACTTGTACTCGGAGGTTGATCTTTTGGAGCCATGGAATACATGTTTTTAATTAAAGGATTGGGGGGGAAGGGGAGGAGGGCAGAGAAACCAAATCAAATCTCAGCTTCTGAACTGGCAGCCCAAGAASTGCTTTGGACCCCAGTGCCTCCAGCTGCGTTAAACCTGCCTGCGGGATCAAGGGCAAGATGACTTTAATGTGCTAAGATTAGGCAGCTCTTCCTGCCTAGTGGCATCTCTTCTGTGTGAAGAAGTCTGCAGCAATTTTGTTAGGAGCTCAGAGGTAAATTTAGTCCTTCTGTGGCGCTCTGAAGCCTGTGCGCTTCCCGAAGAGCAGTTGCCTGCTGATGATAATGGAAGAGGAGGAGGTGGCACTTGATCAGGCACAGTGATATAGCTGATGCCTCATGTGATGTTCTTYGTGCTAAATGGGAAGACAGCCAAAATTGTGTTTTAAAGCGAAGGCACGTGAAGACATGTGGGCCTTGTGTCCCTTGTTAGGGCTTTTGGGTGTATCGGCAGAGCAGGATACAAGGCACTTCTCATGCAGTGGGACCTTAGAAGCTGTTTTAGCATTTAATAAATCACTCTGCTAGTATTGATTTGAAAGCTAAGTGCTAGATAGTATTGCAATGGTATGTCTAATACAGAGGTAAAAGTGAAGCAAAATACTCCTGAACCTGTTTCTTAGTAAACRTAAGAAAATAAAAGACAGTGTTTAAAAAGGCTGCTGAAGGTTGAAGGCRTTGGAAGGTGTATTAGCTGGTGAAATATTCTAAAAGAAAGAAGCAGCAGCTTTCATCAACATTTCTACGTGTGTGTTGACAACAAGTGAATATGGGTAGGTTCTTGAGAGATTTTACAAATCAATGTCTTTATATGCCACAAAGAGAAGACAGCGATACCTTTCTTCTGCATGGCTGTGAGACCAGCTGCCTTTCCTTGCCTGTGAGCACCCCAGCTAGGTTGTCAAGTCGGACCATTCAGTCCCCGCTTCTGGCCAGCATTTCAAGACAATATCCCAGGCCCCTAGCACAGGGATTGCTAGCRGGCATATCTCTAGGTAAGAACATACCCCCATATGTGTTCATAAATGATATGAGCATATCTCTAGTATTAGGTGCTAAACAAGCCTGCGGAATAACTTCTATGTCTCAGATTTAAAAGTAACAGAACACTTAAGTGTCTTGTCTCTGTTCCCCCAATCAGTTTATGGGCTTGTGAAGCAAAAATGTGGAAAGTGAAATTGTGTCCAGTGGCCAAGAGGAAAGAGGATTCTCAACTGAATTTCCATGATGTTCCTCTGTCTGGCTCTGCTGCTGCCCTGTTGCAGAATTACTGCTTGGCATTTGCCACGTAGGCCTCTTGCTTTCTTGCAGATCAGCAAAGCTTTGTCCATTGTTGAACTGGACATCAGTGCCTCAGTTAAGGTCAGGGGATGTGTGTGTATGTGTGGGTGGTTTCCTTTGGTTTTCTTTTTGATGTCCTTCTCTTAAAGAGCCAAGTACTGTATCTTAGTTCCAGTGGTTAGCAGCTTTTTTGAAAGAATCAGTACAGACAATGAATGTTAATAGGTACTCAGTGTAGGATTTGACTTTAGTCCATCTCTTGGTACTAGAGTGTCTGGAAWCTGCAAAAATTAGTTCCTAATTGAATATGCAGAGCATGTGTATTGATTATACAATCTCCTTTGACTGGCATCATAGAAAGCCCAGAAAAGGAGGCAGAAGCTGTGAGTCCCTTATGAGTGATAATACCTCTGCTTCTGTGGCAGCTGTTTCATTGAGGGTAGGTATCTGCACATCTTGACTTTGAGAGTGTCATTTCAGTATAAACCAAATGACTCTTCTGCCTGTTCCTTGCTTGCACTTTCTAGTCTGTTTGACTGGCCTTGCTTTTTGGCCTTGCAGCCTTTCTGTATAGATGTTGCAACAATAACTTATTGATGGGTGGATAATTATGTCTTCATTAATTTAGCAGCCACTGTCACAACCGATGAGGCCAAAACAAACGTTAAGATGGTTTATTCAGTACCAGAGTTCAGTCTGTTTATTTAGGTTTTAAGAAACCATAGCAAAAAAATGGCTGCGGGTTGTAGTTGGGACGCTTTCACAGAAGCAGCAGCATCAGTTTCAGTAGCAGTAGCTGGAATTGTTATATCCCATTTGCAGTCAAAAGAAAGGAGACCTAAAGGTGAAATTCTTCATTTGTTAGAGCGGGGAGAYGGGGAATTGAGCTCCCTTTATGGGATCTGATGTGTCAACTGCACATCAAGTTTCTTGGAGCACTTGTTAGTGATGGCTCTGAAGATACCTTCCTGGGAGATGACTTCCAAACTAGTGGAGGATGCCTAGTTTAAAATCCTACAGAGATTGCAGTATTTGGCGGTATTGAAACTGTGCGTGGTGATTGTTTGTTTTCTCTCTCTT